CCCGAGGAAAGGTTTGCTCAATGTTGCACTATCAATCAGTACAAGGTGCTTTTATCCTTCCATAATACATCAAGTAACCAGGCTTATCCTATCCAAAGGGAATAGACCCTTCTAGAAATAGAATCACCATGCGTATAGCCACGCGAGGCTATTGGCTTTAAGGGATTACAGCAGGATTACGCTAGATATAGCGCGCCAGTACATCCCGAGCCTAGTCTGTGATATAACTATAATAACAGGATAAACCAAAGGATGATAGAAAATGAGGAATAGGAAACCAAATGAGATGAGATAAAGACCAAATGAATCAGGAGTGAAAGAGGAATAAAATAGAAAGGAAATATGGAAAGGGGAAAATAGTGTAACGGGGTCGTACTCTCACAACCACCGGCTATTGGACGAAGGAAATTGGCGAAAGGACGAATGTAAACCTGCCGCCCCCAATTACCTCTCCGATTGGCTTGCAAACTGCCAACGTCAACATGGCACCAGACATTCACAAGACGCAAAGGCCCCAAGTTAGGCCCGAGCCAGCATAGCAGCTTATCCATCAGCAGGTGGATTTTTCACGTGAACGTTTTTTATGAATGCAACCTCATCAGTAACGACGCGCAAAAAATCCGATACGCCGTGTCACTCGTATGTGGACCGGCTATGGATTGGTGGCAACAAATAATTCAGTCGCAGGAGTCGGATACGACGTCGTGCGTGATCAGACATTTTCGCACGACCAATCAATGGGCGGGAAGTTATTGCGAGGTGGACGTGTACAGCACGTGGCAATCGTAGTGCGCGAGAATTCGTCGTCGCTTCAAACACGTCAACACAAACAGTCAAGCACGTGACCGCCTTCGCACATGGCGCCAATTCGGATCAGTCCAGGACTACACCAGCAACTTCAAGAATTAATGCGACCAGGTGCGACATTCACTCTGACGAAAAAATTGACAGATACATCGGGGGACTTCGACCGGATCTGCGCAGAGAAATACAGATCAGGGAAATTACAGATTTGATGGAAGCACAGAGGGTTGCATAACAGTTGGATTCGTTCTTCAAACCAAGGGCGGGTTCCTATGATGGAAGTCGCACTCGGGGACCAATTGAGCGTGCCACTATACACGCTGTTACAACATCAAACTCAGCAGTTACAGCCTTCAAGGGTCATTGTTTCGGGTGCAACAAGCAAGTCAGAATGCCAAGAGGAGCGGAAGAAGCGGAATCAGGGGCAGGGGAGTTCCACCGACCAGCAAAACGCTTAGTATCAGTAGTTACCGGGCCTACTACTGATGGAACCTGCTCGCCCGTAATGGATGACCCTCATCGAGTACTGGTACCAATCCACGCAATCGACCAAACTCGACTAAATAAGGAAAGTGCAGCAGGGAAAAAAAAAAAAAAAAAAATCTTCGTGGACGCGGGTGCCAGCCACAGTCTGATTAACCTCGCTACGGCAAAAAAAAAAAGAACTGTGTATGCCAGCAGCGACTGATAGGTGAAGATTTCCTGCTCTTTTACAGTGCCATTGTTTGGAAATGCCAGGGACCCGTTGAAGTATACCAAGAGGTGCGCGGCCTCCATCAGCAGCTCGAACTCAAAGCTCCAGGTAAAGAAGTCGTGCCCATTGAACGGTGAAGATGTCTGTAGTTTGATCACATGTGAAAACTGCGCCTGGAGACTTAATATTTCGCTTGGTGTGTGTTGTGATGCAGCTGCTGTCGGTTGAGCACGGGGCGGCATGAACTCGAACGTCTCTGATAAAGAGTGATAAGGCACAAAGATAGGCGCCTGGTTGTGCCGCCCGAATGATGAGTTGTCGAGGCTCATCGGTGCTAACCCCGTATTTCCTCCGTTACTCTGTGCTGAATGCGCAGGTGTCCCTGTCTGTTGCTGCTGTTCGAAGTGCGACATGAAGCTGAAGAACCTTTCCATAAGGTTCGGGTCCACACCTGAAGAGGGTGAAGGGGTCACCATTCCTGGTACTCTTCCTGTTGTTTCTTGAGCAGCGCCGGTCTCGGTTTGTAGTCATGAGGTGTGTAGTCTAGAGGTGTCGGGTTGAGTGGCTTGGGCGCTGGGTGAGCCCGTAGAAGACTTTTTGCCCTTGTTGTCCATGTCTTGTAATCGATGAAGCTTTTGATATGCTGACTGTAGATAGGATGTTGTCGGTGGGAGTTTGGTCTCTGACCAGCTCTCATACCATGTTGGGCTGAGAAAAAGCCTTAGGACCTTTTCAGAGACTAAGTTCCACTTGTACAAAACGCTTGAGTAGTGCAGCGGAAGTGTTGAGTAGTTGAACCCTTGCACTAGTATGTGAGAGCAAGTGATTGATTAAAAGAAACAAGCATACAGCAATATATCGAAAATAAGAAATGAATCAGTTGTAGAATACAGTTGAGGGAACAGTTATCGAGTCGCACAGCGGCTCGATTGTCTGTTCGGTTACCACCCTTGCAGTCACAACGGTCAATCGCAACCTTCGGTTGCGACCCTTCGAGTCCCTTCGCCCTTTCGTATTCTTTCGTCCCACCTCCTTGTGTAACCTCCGTTGACTCGCGTACCCGATACGACCTTCCTCGAGTATAGTGTTACACTTCAGAAACGCTTAAGTCTTCGAGGTATTTCCAACATTAGCTAGGTTAGCCTTCTACAGGCGTCTGTCACACTGGAGAGATTGTGGTGGCTGCTCGGATAGCAAGCCCCTCACTTCACTTCTGTTCATGCCTCTGCCAGTCTGCCTTGGTGCCGCTTAACAGTAATGGCTGTGTTGTGCTATTCTGCTATAGCTTCCGAACCTGATGGTACTAGAGAAACTAAGCCATGCGACTTAATTAGCCCTTATTAGATGTTTCATTTTTTTTTTTCTGTATTCATGCCTGCTATTAGCCTTTGTAAGAAACAACTTTGCTTGATAAAATGAATGGAGTTATATAATGTGGGCTTGCAACCCAGAGATAGTCCTACAAGTTGGAACTTACTCAACCCAACCCACCATACAATACACGTATAATAGTAAGGTTTCGAGTCAACTCTTTACAAGAACTGCTGAACGGGCATCACCTGCTTGGCGCGGCCATACGCGGTATAGGCGCAGTCCACAGCAAGCACATCACTCGCCTCATACGACCGGGGAGTGCCATCCAGGAACTCCTGGCCCTCAGCGGCATCGGCGGAGATCGGACGGTGCAGGCTCGCGATCAGCTTCTGGAAATCCGCGGCGCTGGCAGCATGATCCTCGCGGTAGGTCTGTCCTAGCACGCCGTGGATCTCCTCTGTGTGCTCCAGCTCGGCAATCCCGACGTTGATGTGCGCCTCGGCGCCGGTTGGCGTCTGCAGCTTGGGGTGCGCGACGCGCATGCGTAGGTCGAGCGAAATCAAGCCGTCGATCGAGAGCAGGTAGTAGTCCACATCGAACGGTCCCTCCTTCTCCAGCGCGCGGAATTCGATCGTCAGCCCGCCGTTGCTGGTAACCTTATCGCCAACCTGCATGCGAGGGATCTCATCGCCGTCAATCTCGATGCTCTTCACGAAACCCTCGCCGCGCTCCTGTTGCTTCCCGCCGCGCGCCGCAATCCGAACCTTGTGGTCCGCGCCGCCGGCCGTCCAGACAATCCTGAGCTCCTTAATCCACGTGTGCGCGGCCTTACCATCCACAACCACCGCCGCGTTTTCCGTCCTCTCATCATAATACCCCCTCAGCAGCATGTTCACGTGGAGGTCCTTATCGGTCAGCAGGCAGAAGGCCTTGTCAGTGCGGCCGTTGAAGTCGAAGTGCGTGCCGTGCGCGCCAACCAGATGCGAGTCGTTGAGGATCTTTGCGCTGGGGTTGCACTCTCCGCCGATGCGCACCTGCAGCGGCACGGGCTTCGTCTCCGTGCTGTACTGCGCCGTCATCTCTCCGCAGGTGAAATCGATCTGGTCGTGAATGAGGTAGCACGCGCCCTTGCCCTTCTTGCCGTCGATCGTTATATCGGGGATGTACTGCCAGTAGGTGCAGAGCGGCGTCGCGGCGCACGTGTTGCAGCACGACGCGGGGTTCGCCTTGAGCAGTGTCTGCGGGTTACCAGGCACGTATAGCTCGTAACCGAGCTTGTTTTTCTGCAAATACGCCGTCTTCCACTTAGCGGCGATCCCGCCCTTGGAACAATTCTTCGGCGTGCACGCGCCCGCGAGCTCCTTTTTCAAACCGGGCGGGCATTTCTGCGCGTTCCACCCGGCCTTCTTCACATCAGCCATGAAAAAAGTGTCCTACGCTGTGTCGACGTATGTAACACCGGCGGCATCACCCGAAGCAGCCGCCTTCGCGATGGCCGCGGGGATCTCGGTCATGAGTCCGTCGTCCTTCTTGCTGCTCTGGTCGGGCTTCTCGTTCGCGGTGGAGCTCGTGATGGGGCTGCCGGCGCGGGCCGCCGCGAGGAGCAGCGCGAGGGACAGCGCTAGAAGCGCGTATCTGGCCATTCTGTCGAGATACTCCAGAATACACTAGTCAGAGGTTCTGAGCTGATCTGAATGCAGTAAAGCCCGTGTCGAATGACTCGTACAAAGGAGGGCAAATTTAGGGTAGACTAACAATGAGCACTCGCTTCACAGATGACTGAATGACAGATTGAGCGATTTACGGTATTTAGAGGGGCAGGGATGTGACTGCCAGAATTCGTTAGAGCAGCCAATCTACTCGCGTCGTGTCGCGGAATGGAAGTTGGGCCTGTTGCCCGCGAGCTCACCTCATCATCGCACCACATCACAGTTCAGATGACGGTTTCCTAGATTGCACGCCTCTCGAGTTGCAGGTGCTTGACGCTGATAACCAGAAATGTGTCTGTGATCTGCACTCGCAGGTTTTGCGACGTAGTGCAGATATTCTATGCTCCAATTGAGGCAGCCAGATATGTCGTATCGTTTTGTGTACACTTTCGTTTGTGTTTCATGGGCGTCTGCATATGTTGCGACAAGGTCAACAATTAGGGTGATGTCACTACTACCATCCATCAATCAATGACAATTGTGACATATGCCATAACATGTAGGGAATGACATGTACAATGTCTGTATCACTATGCACTGAGTAAGAATGGACAAGAGGAAAGTCTATAGCATGTGTCTTCAGGGGACAACTGCGCTCCAGGCCCACCAAGTACCACATGTGTCCTGTCCAACGCACGTGCACATTAATTCAGGGGAAACACAGGGTCCGCTATGCGGCATGTGTTTGCTTTGCACTAGTTGGGAACAAGAACACAGTCTATAACATGTGCCTTCACCCACTGCCCATTAAACAGCTTCTTCGTATCCACCTGCGCCCAAAATAGCTGCTGCGCTCCAGGGGCACTCAGCGCCACACTCGTCCCGGGATTCCAAAACCTGCTGGGCCGCACACTGTGCTTCACAATGCTCTTGCTTGCCAGAGTGGGGATCTTGCTGCGGTTTGGCAGGGCTTTAAGCTGCGCGAAGCTGTAGAGCCCTGACACAGTGTGGTACTTCACTATTTCTGTCCGGCTTGCGGCGGTGACCCGCGGACGGAAGGCCGTTTTCGCGAAGGACCAGTCGGAAGGTGCGAGGAAGGTGAGCTCTTGGTAGCCTGCGGCGAATCCAGCATCGGGGACTTGCTCTGGGGGAAAGCGAGATTGGGGGCACAGGGTGGGTGAGGGGGAGAGCAGGGGAGGACAGGGAAGGGAGTGATGGACGGTCAGATGGGCTTTAATCTGCGTGAAGCTGTAGAGCCCTGACACAATAAGGTTCTTTACGATTTCCAACCGGCTTGCGGCGGCGACCCACAGGCTTAGGATGCTTTCACAAAGAACTAGTCGGAAGGTGCGAGGAAAGTGAGCTCTTTGAAGCCAGTGAAAAATGCAGCATCGGGGATTTGCTCTGGGATGGTAGAGAGGGAGGGAGTGGTGCGAGGTAGGCCGGGAAAGGGGGTTCAGGTCAGCTGGTGTTGGGGAGGGCAGCATCGGGGACTTTCACCGGGGGAAAGAGAGGGGATGGGAGCAGGGGACTGGTGAGAGGGGGAGCAGGGGAGGGCGGGGAAGGGAGTGATACAAGGTCAGAAGGGCTTTAAGCTGCACAAGAAGGTGGTCAACAGGAGCTTCCTCTGGAATAGAGAAGGAGTTGGTGAGGTAGAGGGGATGGATGATCGTGGTGGAGATGGAGAAGGGGGTGGTATAAGGCCAGGTGGTGATTGTAAAGGGGGTGATATAAGGCCAGGTGGTGATGGAAAAGGGGGCGGTATAAGGCCAGGTGGAGTTGGGAAGGAAGGTGCACTCCTGGTGGTGGGGCGAGGCAGGGAGGAGGGGAGGACGAAAACCAGATAAACGAAGACCGGAACGGAAGGCCGGGTAGGGTGAAGAAGGTGGGGTCCTGTTAGGCTCCGGCAAAGGCAGCGTCAGGGAAGACCTCTAGAAGGAAGGAGAGGGAGTAGGCGAGGTAGGGGGGAGGGGGGGATAACAAGAGGAGAGGAAAAGCCCGGGTGGGGTGAGGAAGGTGGGCTCATGTCAGGCTGTGGCAAAGGCAGCGTTGGAGAATGCCTCTGGAAGGGAGGAGAGTGAGCGGGTAACGTAGACCGTATACCGTAGAGGGCAGGGGGGTTGGGAGAGGGAGTGATATGAGGTCAGCTCGTGTAGGGGAGGGAGGTGAGATCTCGGTAGCCCGTGGGGAAGGAATCATTGGGAGCTGCCTCTGGAATGGAAGAGAGGGAGTGGGTAAGGAAAGGAAGGGGAGGGGGGGGGGGGGGGGGGGGGGGGGAAGAAATATAGTAAATATAGTCCAGATGATGGTGTTGGGGAGGGTGGTGACGTCCCGGTGGGCTGTCAAAATACGGACGTCAAGTCCTCAATATTGAGAGAGAGTCCTCAATGGAGTTGCTCAAGTGCTGCAGTAAAAACTATCAGATGGTCTGATATAGACCGTGCTCAGCAGGACTCGAACCTGCGCGGGCAGAGCCCAACAGATTTCTAGTCTGTCCCGTTAACCACTCCGGCATGAGCACATGGCAAATGAAGCTTCAGCAGAATTTCAGGGTGGCATATAAACGATGCGTTACGTTACCTCGATCCTCTCACCTCCCACCGCCCACACCGTTCACTAGCATGCTCCTTGCGTGTACAAAACAGTCGCGGACTTCGTCTAATTTCAGCCATCCAGATCGTTCCTCGCCAGCAGCGGAGAATCCCAACCAAGTTTCGCGAAGCACTTCAAAAAACAAGAAACCGAGTCCATAGGGACACAAAGAAAGAAAGAAAGAAACTTAAAAACTCTTACCAACTTGCGAAATGAATTGTGACACTGCTTCCGCCATGATGTTACAGCTTTGCTTCTTGAGCCTTGCGACGAGCGTGTTCAGCTCGCTGAGATACTGCGCCTTCGTCGGCTGAGCCGTCGCCGTCGCGGACAACGACAGCAGCAGCAGGCCGAGCACGAGGCACCATGACGCGTGCGAGCACCAGTGGGGCGGCGAGGAGACCGCCATCGGAAGATACTACTTTGCTGTTAGTAAAGCCTACGTCTCAAAGCTCGAGAAGTACAACCTTCTATAGAAATCAATAAATTTTCGAGACGTCTCAAAGCTAGAAAAGTACAACCGTGCTCTAGTGAAAGCCTCTCACTTGCTTGCTGTAAGCTTCAGTGCGAAAAGGTTTGGAGAGCTCAGCACAACAGATTAGCCAGACGAACAAAAACGCCAGGTGCATCACAGCTTTGAAATGAGGGCAGGAAGGAAGCTAGTGTCTTGTCGCAAGAAACAAGGGGTGCTGAGCATGTTGGGGTTGGGGTGACGGGGGGCATTCTGTAGGCAAGACGAGGCCAGGTGGGGAGGGGACAGGTTCGAGGCTTCAAGGTTGGCTTCAATTTGTCGGTTCGGGGCGGGGTTTGCATGAATGCCGTTTGTGTTTGTTCGCGGAGGAAGGCTGGCGGCGCCAGTCAAGACTGTAGCCATTTCGTGTCGTGCACGATTCACGAAAAGGAGCAGCAGGTGCCCTGAGGGAAGCGGGCGCGCTTACACTTCAGTAGGCATTCAGAGGGCAGAAGAAAGTTGTGTCTCTGCCCCGACGGCAGGCACTGATCGTCACTTTTCGTAGTCGAAACGCCCCCGTGTAGGTGCAACTCGGAAGCGATCGGAATGGAAAAAAACCTGAACTCATTCGCAGTGCAGAACCGTGGAGTATGAATCAGATCAGGGATGGCTCCAGGGCTGACAGTATCTTTCAAAATTCGGAACTACTACAAAAAGCTACTACACAAAGCGTAGTCTTTTTCCAGAATAGACATCGAACTACACAAAGTTTCCAGCCCGTAATAGCTGACGACGCTGACCGACCTACGCTATGACTAGCTCTGTGAAGGTTTGGATGCTGCAACCCTAAAATAAAAACGCAACCCTAACAAGCAGAGTAGCGCGGAAATGAATAACGAAGTGTTCACTCACTGAATGACGATACAAGGAATGGCAAGCCAAGATATAGAAACACCAGAGCTAGTCGAAGGGTCTCGAAGGGACGCAGCGAGGCCCGGAGAACTCCCGAAGGTCGAACTGGAAGGTCTGGAGAAACCGAGGCGGTTCTGTCAGAAGGTCTGGAACAGTCCCGAGGCTTCGGGTGTGTTCGAGCGTACGCGATAGCAGTACCGCTCGGTAAGGAATGGAAAATGCCTTACACTAACCATCTAACCTTCCATCTGTTATAGCTTATCATTATTTATAGAAGCAGTGGTTTTTATTTGTCATGCAAGTTTTAGATTATTTTACCTTAATCATTCTTTCATAATGCTATGATTCATTTTCTATTACATGATTATAGTTTGAGTAATCACAAGCATGAACGTTATGTTTCTTGAAATCTTATGTTTCCTTTTATCACTGCATGACTCGTTATTGTCACTTCGGAGCCCCGTTGGTACGGCTCAACGGAACATCCATTTTTGTGGCCAACGCAGCGCCTCCATTCGGCAATTTTGTTCCCGCGACGCGTCGCGCCATTCCACTTTCCCCTAAAATTCTCGATACAGCGCTGTACTGGACTGTATCAACCCCCCCATCACTTGCACCATCAAGACTATGGATGGGCTCCAAGAAAAGAACATTCCTGCGCATGCAGATTCACACATCCATCAGCTCAGCTTGCAGTCAAGCAAAACGCTGGTTCGTGCCTGGTTAGAGCCTATTATTCCGCTAACGCCAGGGGTTTCTCAGTCACATGCTGGCTTCGTTGAAACACTCCGCCATATTGGATTGCAGGCCTCTTATCAACCAGACCCCTCGCGTGTTAGCTCCCTCGATCAATACTCCGGCGATATTGGATGGACGGAATGCGGATATGCACAGCAAATCTTGACGCGGATAGTCTAGTACCTTAACGCGTGATCTAGTGTTGAGGCGCCTAAGAAAAACACCTCCCTCAACGTGGGCTCACACGACTGCGTCGTGACGCGCGCTGACCCAGGGGAGTTGCACAGAAAGCGAGGGAGCAGCAGGAGCAGCGGGAGCAGCGGAATTATTGGGAGCAGCGGGACTAGTGGGAGAAGCAAAATTAGTGGGGGCAGCGGGAGAAGCGGGCACCAAGCAATGGCAGTGGATGGAGCGTCCCTAATGGATGTGCGAGCCCATGAAATGGTAATTGAAGGCAATGTTGCGGCTGTTAGCGAATCCGCCGCACACTCTAGCGAGTCCATCATTGAGGCACCTCAAAAAGCGGCGGGAGCGTCACTGATGGATGCGCGAGCCGATGAAATGACCGTTGTCGCAGCGGGCTATACTACTGAAGGCAATGTTGCGGCTGTTAGCGAATCCGCAGCAGACACTAGCGAGCCGACCTTTAAGGAGCCTCAAAAAGCGGAGGGAGCGGCGCTGATGGACGTGCGAGCCGATGAAATGACCATCGTCTCGGAGGGTTGTACTACAGAAGGAAATGCTGCGGCTGTCAGCGAATTGGCAGGCGCCGGAACAGCAACGGTTAACAAGTCAGGAACAGCTGATAAGGACTGTGCTACAGTGTTACGAGACGGTGTTACAGTGTTACACGTCCACGTGCACTCGACAACGGGAGAAGACGTTCGGCCTGAGCCAACGCCGGAGGAATCAGAGCAGGTGCCGTCAGTGCAGGCAGAAGCGCCCCATGCCGAACCAGCCCGTGCCGAACCTGTCCAGGAGGAACGGGTGCAGCGGAAAGAATCAGAGGAGAAGCAAGATCCCAATGCAGACCCGGCTGTAGCAAGCCTGGCGCCTGGGAGAAGCGTTGATCCTGACCGTGCAGATGATCCTGAGCGAGGACTTGATCCTGACCATGCAGTTGGTCCTGAAAGGGGAGTCGAGCTGAGAGAAAGAAACGCAGGAGCAGAAACAGATGCCGCATTGGGAGCAGAAGCAGCAGATGCGGTAGAAGAGGCAGATGAGGCTGAAGCAGAAGCAGAAGCAGGAGCAGCAGCAAGCGCAGAAGCAGAAGCAGAAGCAGAAGCAGAAGCAGAAGCAGCAGCAAGCGCAGAAGTAGAAGCAGAAGCAGAAGCAGAAGCAGAAGCAGAAGCAGCAGCAAGCGCAGAAGTAGAAGCAGAAGCAGAAGCAGAAGCAGCAGCAAGCGCAGAAGTAGAAGCAGAAGCAGACGAAGGAGCAAGCGCAGAAGCAGAAGCAGAAGCAGCAGCAAGCGGAGAAGCAGGAGCAGAGGCAGCAGCAAGCGCAGGCGAAGGAGCAGCAGAATCAGAAGCTGGGGAAGAGGCAAAGAAGGAAGGAGCGGAGGTTCCACCGCTTACCGAAGGAAATCTATCTCCTTCACTCCTATCTCTTCCTTCAAACCCCCCCATCCGCCCCGTAACCCCACGCGTCCCCCTTCCCTTGCCCCCTGCCCTCAGCCTTTCCCAGCGCCTGCGCACGGGTGAGTCTTCCCCCCCTCCTTGCGCCGGCTCTTGCGCTTTTAACACGGGAGCGAGCTCAAGACCCGCCGCTCCGCCCCTCCGCGGAGCCAGTGTGCGCCCAGTCAACCCCCGCCGGCCCACCTCCGCCTTCCCCACGTGCCCTTCGCTTCCGCCAATGAGCCTTGCGCCTTCGCCGGCTGTAGCGCTGGCGCGGCAATTGAGCGCTGTGCACCCCCTCGCGATCGACGGTACTACTAGTAGAAACGCAGGAGCGTTTGGCCGACCGGAGGAAGAGCGAGACCGGCTAGTGGGCGGCAGTCTTAGCGGCGAATCGAGTAGCAGCGGCGGTGGCAGTCAACGCAGCCAGCACATTGAACGGAGTCAGCACAGTGAACGCAGTGCTGCTAATACGAGCGAGCCGTCGCAACGTTCGGATTGCGACGAGATTTCGCACTCCGTTACTGTCAGCTCCCGCTCGAGCAGCCTTCCCCCCCTCTCCCTCGAACTTGTCGCCCACGTCGCGAATGGGGTTCGCGAAAATCCGGGTTTTGCACACAGCGAAGGCGAGTCTCCTCCCGACTCTCCCAGTAGCAGCGGCGACACTTGCGACCCTGCGACGGCGCGTTCATTGGGCCCTAGATCGCACGCTGGTCGCACGCGACGTCGCAAACTGTCGCAGCTGATAGAGGAGCTCGAGGGTATGCGACTCAAAGACGCAAAGCTAGCGGAGGAAGCGGGAGAGGCAGGAGCGGGGAAGGCGGAAGCGGGTGGAGAAGAAGGGGAGGAGTGCAGCGGGGAGAAGAAATGCGCGGGGGGGGTGGCGGAAAGAGGCGGAGAAGGGGAGGGGGAGGCGCGGAGGGACTTCGGGAAACGCCCGAGCATGGCAGAGGGATTAAGGGTAGAAACGGCAAGAACCCACTCGTTTAAGGGGTCAAATGTCTGGCACAGCTTGAAGTCACCCACATGTATGAGCGGTGGGGAGATGAGGGTAAATGTGCGGTTTCCCCTGCTGGCGCTGTCTAAAAGCATTAGCAGTGTGTGGGGAAGGAAACGAGAGAGGCTAGGAGAGAGAGAGGAGGGAGAGAGAGAGGAGGAGAGTGAGGATAAGGAGAGGGGGGAGCGAGAAGAGGGGGAAGAGAAGCATGGAGAGAGAGTCGCCGAGGAGGAATGGTGCAGCAGCTTCCACAGTCGCACTGCATACAGTGAAACTGCATACAGACACACTGCATACAGTCACAACCTGGTCTTTCCCCAAACTGGCCCTGTCCAGGCTGGCATCTTGCATGGCCTAGATAAAAGAACACTTTCTTTCAGTCACAGCCTCTGTTCCAATAGCAGCAGCAGCAGCAGCAGCAGTAGTGGCCACACCACTCTGTGCACTGAGACCAGCTGCCAGTGCAATCACAAGCTGCTTACAACGCCAGGCTTGAAAAGCCAAGACCTCCCTGTCACCCACCTGCTGTCCTCGTTACAAGCTGCCTCTGAATCAGCCACAGCAAGCAGCGAAACTAATGATCCCATTCTCCCGGTCTCCATACTGCAAACTGTTCACCTGAAGGCTGTAGGTCAGGAATCTACCAATCAGCAGCCGGTGGATGCACAGGCTCGGCGTGCTGTACTGAGTCAGCTTATAGGGGAGCTAGAGACGATCCGGCCAGGCAGTAAGGTGC